TGGCCTGTCCATTATCCATTCCGAAGGGACAAATGCTTTTGGCCAATTTCTGAAGGTAAAGCCAGAATGGCAGCCCTCAATGCGCGCCATTGTTTTTAGAGAAGTTTCCCAGATGTTATAATGCACAAGATAAATAGGGCACATTATCACTACCTTGCCCTCTTACCTCTCCAAGCTCAGTTTTGGCGAGGGCGTGGCAGGTTAGGAGACCTCCTACGAAGCACACACTGCCGTCAAACCCTCAGTGTCAGCTCTCACACAGCTCAACGAGTTCATGGGAAGGGGTGAGGGTTTGTGTGAGTGTGTGTGTGTTACTCTCTGTTAGGGGTGACGCAGGCCAGGTTTACTAGGGTCAGTTGTTGACCATTGGGTCACACACAGGCTAACTTTGCGGGTGATAATGTGTCCACTCTCACCTCTCCTCCATGTTGAATCCCTGTCCCTCTGTGTGTCAATGATGAATCCACGGTGTTTGGAAGCATTAAATTAGCCGGCCACAGGGAGAGAGGAGTGGATAACTCTGGCTTGTGTCCAGTCAGATGGGGTGGGGAGGGTCATAGCTGATTTACTGGCTTTCCTGTGTAATAGCTGGCAGGAAAGCAGGAGGCCGAATTTGTTGTTGCCTACACTGGATGCCCCCTTTTACCCGGCTCGGGCAGATGTCACAATCATGCATGCGGGATGGGCGTGATGAACGGTGGCGAACGGAAGAAAAGTGATCGGAGTGCTAAGCAATTCACGTTGAACCTGCCAGCCCCGCTGGCACACCTTAACTCAGCTGGCAGGCACTGCTTTGCGTGGCAGCGAGAAAATAATGGCGCATTCTGACAATGCCACTGCCCCTGCTGACACAAAGGGGAGCCCCTGTCCCCTGCCTCTGGTAATGAAGAATGAATAGTTAGCTCATTGTCCACTCATCCTCTGTCTCTCTCTGCACACAGTCTTATACTCTCTCTACCTAATTGAGGTTTAATCACTGAGTTCTAAATGCACTCAGTGGATTATTATATTGGTGGGATGACAGTTTAGTGAATAGTGTGAATCATTGTGTGGAATCGGGGGGAGGGAAGAATATAAACCACAGAGGAGTTAGGATGAATTTGCATTGGCTGGGACCCTGTTATGTCACACATTTCTACTTTCTTTGGCAGATTGTGTTTCTGATTGTACTAAAAATACAAACTTTATTGACATCTACTAACCAGACTGTTGTTTCAACATTACTGTGTCTGTATCAGAGTCAATATGGACAAAGGCATGCAGTGAATACACATATAGTCAACCAAGAACAGGTTGTTGAATATTAAATTAAACAGGATCTCAAATCATGGCTCAAAGGGCTGGAGTTGCCAGAGCCAATGTCCAAGTGCCATAAACCACACACTATAATGAAATATACTGTGTAATATTCTAAAACAAATAGTCACAGGCATACAAATAAATCTTTAACGGATCCCACTAACAATGTAGATCTTCTTCCTCTGTGCCATAGAGTTCCATTGTTGTCCAAAAACCAAACGAGCACACTGTTGCACTGGCTAACGCGTTTCTGCATTACCATATAAACACACTGTAGTTTACTTAGAGTCAGTTTCCCATACACTGTCACACTGTTGTAAATAATCACCAACCAAATGTGAATTAATCTGAAAATAGCAGTTGAAAATATATAGTCCCCAGTAAATACACAATTTACCCCTGTTTCAGGTAACATTTGCCAACAACTGCCTAGCTCAACTGTTTTATGAAATTAGTAAGACTTTTTTTTTTTTAATTTAACTAAAAATGTGTGAAGATTTACATCTTCAGTAGAAACCACAATGCCACAGAGAAGGAAAGTCAGACGTTGTTGAGTGATGAACTAACACATTGTTTTTTCTTATATAGAGAGAGAGAGAGAGAGAGAGAGAGAGATGCTTATCCTTTTAAGTTGTCCCTCCTTTTTATCTATTATATTGGAAGGAAATGTAGATTAAGAAGCCAGTCATCAGCAGAGAATATTTTTCGGTCTTTTAAACCTCATTAATGTTCTTTCCTGTGTGTCCTTTCCATTAGTCTGTTTCTTTAAATGTTGACATGTAAAACAGCCCTGTGTGTGATATGCATGGCCAGGAATGCCATGGTGCTGTGGGTGGGGTTCTTAGTGTTTAAGTTGGGCACAGTGGATCTCCTCCATCTGTTGGCAGGGCCAGAGACAGAAGGCTTGAATGTGTGTGTGTGTTTGGTCTTTGAAGTGGGACAGATTGCTTTAACCTCTCTTCTAAGGAGAGCAGCTGGAATAGAGAGCTCCTTTAAACAGCCGCTTCCTCCTTCGACAGTCATGAGATTATCCTCCATTGATGCACAAAGGCAGCGCCTTCCTCTGCAACCTCTCATCCCAGCCCCCCGGCCTCTGGCCCTCTACAAACACTCAGTGTTGACCTGTGACCCATAATGCAGAGATGTGATGCCAAGTCACTTTGCAGGATCAGTTAAAGAGCCAAGAGAAGTAAAGACATCCCTACTGTCCCCTGGACTGCAGCTGCTTTTCCTGACAGCCGTCCGTTAATATTTTCCCATTGCCTGGATTCCACTCTTCCTCGCTCTGACTAATCGTCATGTATTAAATAAGGAACCAATTGCAAACAAATGAATTTTGGTAATATCATTAAGGGTGGTCAGTGAGAGCTTGTCTATGTTTAATGTGCTTAGGAGGCAGCAGCTTTGAAGGAGAGATCTATTCAGAGATTCTGTGCAAGCACCTGGGCTCTGCTGGCAGTGGGAAGGAGACATCACTGCATTGATATGGTCTTAAGTGACAGCATGGGGTTCTCATTTTCCCTATCTTGGTGTTTGGTGGGCTGATCTTATGACAGAGGCAGTGGGATGAGCGAGGACTGAGGCTTGAAATCTGTGTGTGTGTGTGTGTGTGTGTGTGTGTGTGTGTTAGATGAGGGGGATGTTTTTCACGAAGGACGACAGTAGGAGTGCTGTGATCAATCGAGTGCAATCAGCCACCTCCAACTGCACCGACACACTGATTGGTCAGTCAATGAACTTATGTGTTGATCAATAAGCCACATGTCAACACCCAGCACTGTTGAACAGTCCCACCCAGGATATCTCAAGCACCGTCCACACCAGTAGTGATCTGCTGCACTCCTCAACTTTAGTTTTTTTTTTAAAATATAAACAGAAAACAGCTTTATCCTGTTCAGTTAGACACTGAGTGATAACACAGCTTAAATAGATCATCTTCAGCTTCTTTGTTGCTCTTACAACAGACCCAATATAAAGTTTAAAACCATTAGTTTCCCTGAAGCAAAACAATTAAATTCAGAATGTAATAGTTATGGGAAAAGACATTTTCCCACAAGAAAAGGAAGCATTAGCTAATTGCCTTTCTTTTCCTAATTGAACCTCCCTTGCAGTGGCACTCTTGGCACAAGGTGTAGGCTAACATGAAGACAAAACCTGTGCTTCAATTATCTCACTGAGAATGATGTCACCCCCCTCTTCTCCAAGTAGAAACCTATATGTATGCTCCCTCTATCTGCTCAAACCTGCATTTGCATGTACTCATGTAGGTGTACCAGAGGACATATTCATGTTTAGTGATGAACGCGTTTTGCTCCGAGCCCTGCTTACCGGATTATCAGAATCATTTGAACATGAATGGACGGGGCTACTGCTGTCCTTTAGATATTGATGCCGTATTGTGCCAGTAAGCAGTGTGAGCTTCTGGCCTCAGAGGTAGCTGTGAAGTGCCCAGGGATTTCTGCTCGACTGACTTTTGGATTTGCAAAGCGGACGACAGAAGGGGGCTCGCTTGGAAGAATTACAAGACCCTGACGCCTGTAGAATCCAAAACCTTCAAGGGCCATTTACGAAAAGTATTTTTTCAACATTACAAACTCACAGCCTTCAATAGACTATCTAGAAAGGCTGTCATTGTTCTCACTTACATCTGAAGCTGATAAAATAAATATTGTATTGAACAGGAAGTACAGCACATGGCCACATTTTGTTCTGTTGGCGCTAATCAAAGATGGCAAAACATGACTTTCTGCGGTTGTCTTTGCTAGCTGTGGCTACAATGACTTTTTGACAGGGAAAGTATCTCTTGCCCTTCTCACTAGCTCCTTCTTTGGCCTATTCATTGCACAAAGCTGCTTAAGCGCACTTAAGCGCATTAGCATTTGGCTGCCAGGGGACCATATTGACCCTGCATTTGGATGGCCTAAATGAGTGAAAGATGGAGCGATTTGTTAGGGCTTTAGAAAGTTGCTTTTGGGGAGGGGAGGTGGGGTGAGCATGAAGGAATGGGGCTGAGGCAGTGGTGGGGGGGCTGCAGAGAGTTGTTCCACTTTCTCTCAGGGCATGGTGTTTGTTCTAATCTGGTGTGCCGTTTCTTCGTGGCCGAAGCAGGACTGATTTGTGACATTTCAGTCTAAAGGGCCTTTTTCTGCTCGCTATATTGGCTTGACCCGATTATCTAATCTGTGCTTTGAATTTCAATCAGGTCACCAGTCTCTGCCGTGCGGTATGGGAACCACTGGCCGGGGGATTACCTCATTCAACTGTCTTCAAACACAGATGGTCGAATGTTTAACTAATTGTTAAAAGAGTCCACAAAGGGGAATTTAACCATGCACACAGTCCATGGGGTCAGTACATAGAGCCTGATAAAGAGAAGGGACAGTGAGGTGGTAGTTTGTGGGACGGTTCTTTAAAAATCATTCAAATGCGGCTCAGTGTAGTGCATGCTGTTGGGTACAATGGCTGCTGTTATCGGTTGCTTTCAGAGCATTATAAACTACTGTACAAAGTGTGTGTGAGTGTGTGTGTGGTCAGCTATACTTACGTTACCTGGGTAACAGTGAAATAAATATAAATTCATAAATGTTTCCATTTTAGCAACTTCCTTTATCTTTTTTTTTTATTATGAACGCACACCTAGCCTGTATTCCTAATAGGATTTGACCCTCGCTTTCTTTTTTCTCTTCCTCTCTGACCTCCAGACTCTCTGCTCCACTGCCACCATGCAGACAGTCAGAGCCGCAGACACCAATGAGGTCGACAAGCTAATATTCCGAGAAAGTGACAACGACCGAAAGGTAAGATATACTGCGTTAATACTGACATGTCACAGCCTCATTAAAATGAACTGAATATAAATCATATTGTTATCCTGACACTGGTCAAATATCAATAAAACATCAGGAAGTGACGCAGTGAAGTTCACCTGTGTGAAATAGGCAGTGTTAGAGGCTAGCTGGTGAACTCTAGTTGATATATACAATAATAGTCGCTAACTGAACAACAAGTTTGCACAGTATAGTCAAGATTTAGATCCTTTACTTAAGGGAAAGTACTAATACTACACTGAAAATACTCCAGTACAATTCAAATTCCAACTGTATTAAGTGTGCAAGTATTATCAGCAAAATGTATTTAAAGTATGATTTTTGTGTTTATACGCTGCTACATTAATGTGTAAATTGCTGCTGTAGATTAGATTGTGACAATGTATATATATATAATGTGTGTATATATATATATAATGTGTGTATATATATATAATGTGTGCATATAGTATATACCGTCTATACCTAGTATATATATAATCAGTATACCAATCTTTCACTTAGGTATATTGCCGTTGCAACGTGTCACGAACAATGCATATAAAGCATGGTAGATGAGCAGCACACAAATATGCTCTCTCCATGTTTAAGCCCTCTCTCTTGCTGTCTTGGTGCGTGCGTAGGGTGCAAGAATCTTGTGAAAAAACGATTATATTAATAAGATTACCTGATTTGTAGGGATTATAAGCTGCGCTGTGTAGAACTTTCTGACAACTTGTAAATTAACACTAGATGAACATACTAATAAGTCGTAAGTTCTTCTTATATACTATGATATGCCTAATCCCGGAGCGATATTACTCAGAGATGGTTTGTTGTAACCATAGACAGTATGAAGAGGTGCAATAGTGGGAATGATTGGAAGATAGCAAGAGTGACAAGTGATGAGAATATAACCAGTGCAATGTCTGCCTAACCTGCAAGCACATCTCTGTTCATTGAGTGCTGTTAATATACAGATCGCTCTAGTGTGTTCACTATGTTACGTAGTGGTATAAATGCAGGAGCCCGTTTCTTCTCTTGCTTGCTGATTTATCAGGTTTGTTCGATTTACATAAACTTGAGGAAAGATAAGCTTGTAGAATGTATGGTCAACTATTTCTTGAAAACCAATAGACACAGGAATCCCGTTTTCCGGAGAAATAGCAACCGCCCAATAAAATGAGAGCCCTCAGTGAAGGTCACCCTGGTATGGGTACCTCTCCTATCACCTTGTTTCCCGCTACTGTTCACTGCGTACTCTCACAACAAATCCGCTCCACTTACATTCTAATATTTATTTACCAAACTTATGGTATTCTTTTTATCAACCTTTATAGAGTTACAGC